TTTATATAAACAAATGAAAGGTTTTTCCCTTTATAGAGTCAAGTCTCTTATTGTGCGGTTTATTTTTATGCGACACTCTTCATATTTCCTCGATTAGTCCAGTTTCAAACAGATTTAACCGGTCTATTCGAGGTATTTCTATATAATTAACGTATATAACTTCGTTTAACGTTATTTTATCTGATATAAATAATATTGACTTAAAAACTTTGTCAATATTACTATGCGTGACATGAGACAGTTCAGTTTTAGTGTCATCGGATTCTATGATAAGCAATAATAGTTGATTCAACTGACATATATTTATGACTTATGTCACGCATAGTGTGGATGCATTATTATATCTGATGTACTACATTCCATAACATGAACTCCATGCTGAGATCATTAGATTTCGAGACTTATAAAATTGAATATAAAAATTAACCCACTATTGATTTGTATGGATTGATTGTTTCAGCAAGGAAATCTTGCGCCTGGAGCCAAATATCCAATTTGCGCCCAACATTATCAAGAAAATAATAATATTAAGAATTATTAAAATATTTTACGAATAAATTATTTTAACAACAATTGGAAATAATTGCAACAAATTACAAACAAAATTAAAACTGAATTGATTGGCTTGGAAATAATTATACTAATTTTCTGATAGACTAATTATAATAATTATGTAACATGCACATAATAAATGAAACATTTTTTTGTCAACAAAATAAAAATTAGTATGTTTCTTTTAAATAACTTATTTTTGTTTAAATTTAGGAAAGTTTCTGAACTAACATTGTTTGTTATTCAAATAGATGAAACAAAGGCTACATAATTTAATATGTGTTGTACATGATCTCCTTTCTCTGATCTTCATTCAATCAAGCTTACTAACCTACATAAACAAAGTTTATTAGTAACGCGCTCAGAGGATTACAGGCAACGACTAAATGCTTTTTCCACTTGTTTCGCAGCTAATTAACCATGATAATAAATTACCGTGTAATAGTATTTAATTAGTCCCGCGGACGGCAGCAAAACAGAAAGAGATTATCGACGTGCGGATGGTGTAAATATGCAAAATACGACGTATCTAAAATTCAGAATGTCCTAAGTTTGTGTCGTGCAGCAATTATAATTATGAACTTATGCATATCTAGAACGGCGGATTATGTGCGATGCAAAACGGAAACTGGAAATAGCACGAATGGATGTGTTGCATGGAGAGTGGTAATGATATTTCCACTGCAAGAACATACCATCACGCAGAGTACTAATGTGTAGCATTTTATTTATTGCCTCTACTAAATCCATCGAACTAAGAAATATACGGTAACTCACGCGTGCCTGACTCGTGGGAGAAAAGGATAAGTTCGCACTTTCAACGTCTCACACACTGATAAGCCTTCACTTTTCTTCTATCCTTTCCATTCCTTTTCCTCACAGTTCAACACCGTATTTATTTAATTAACACATATTTCCGTATATAATTCTCGTAAGTTTACATTTGTTTTTTATTTAATTGAACAATTTAAATTTTTCTTTTATGTATGTTTATGTTACCTTTAAAGTTTATAATAAAAATATTTGCCCAGTTATTTCTTTTACAGTATTTGTAAAATTACTCAATTTTTTGAAACTGTCAATTTTTATCCACTAAATTATGACTAAAAGGCCCTTATGAACGTGTATCCCCTGCTTCTACAGTATTTAGTATAATAGAGTAAATTTACTACTTTAACTATGATTATAAAATAATTTTAGATCAGAGATTTTCAATCATTCTCAAAGCCAATTAGTAACAGTAATTCCCAAGTTCCTCAATTTGACACAAGATGACAGCTGTCATTTTGTAAGTCATACAAAAATACGCAAACCTATAGGTTGACAAAAACTAATTTAGATTATACCAAAAAAAAAATCGTTTTTCCTATAAAATAAAACAATTTAAATTTATCGACCTATGAAATAAACGGTAACTAAAGCGTGCTTGACTCGTGGGAGAAAAATATATAACTTCGTGCTTTCAGCACTGATAAGCCTTCACTTTTCTATCCTTTCCCTTCACAGTTCATCGTCGTGTATATTTTTCGGTACTTTTCTTTCGCCACTTTTCTTTTCCACAACTTTCTTCCTGGTATATTATAATAAGATTTATGGTTGAGTCAAGACCACACGCGCCCAGCACGCATAAATTGCATGCAAATATTACGAGATCTTAAGGCAACCTAACTAAATACAATGAAAATCGTATAATTAATTGCTCCTTCATAAATCAAGCTAATTTATTCGTCATTTGCATATATTTTTTTTCCTCTCTTCCCACCTCGAAGGGAAAATTTCTTTCGCTTTCCTCTTATTCTTTATTTCAACGATAATTTATTACAAGCTCTCGGATTTCCGTACGTTTCTGTTACAATCTTTAATATTGCGTACTCACGAGAGATTATTTATAAATATAATTTACTTGTATGTACATGAACGTGTATTTAATCGTGTCTCACATTTCTATTTGCAATTATTTTGTTTTATTTATGGAGTTAAGTAATTTTAAACGTTTTACTGGTATTTACTTACAAATTAATTGTACAATCTGGAACAATTCTTTTATATAAATTTAAAAAAAAAACTAAAATTTAATTAATTTAATAAAAAGTAAAATTTTACTTTGTAGAATTTAGTTATTATTTTGATTAGTTTACAATCTAGAAAAATAAATATTAATCATTTAAGTTATAACTTAATTGATAACTTAATATTCTATTACTGTTTTATCAAACCAAACATAACATAATATATCATTCTTTTGTTAGTTACATGTGTAACTCCCAATGTAAATGTTATTTGCTTAATACTAGTTCTGTGCATTGATTTATAGTGGGGGTCTGCAATCTGCGGCTCCGGAGCCACTTTGACTCCAAGTAAAATTGCAGCGTCAATGTTGGATAGCAAAAATGTTCCTTTTCTTCATAAAGGTAGTCGGACCCTAATTTTTCAGGAACTGTGAATAAAAAACACTTTTAAAACATATGTTTATGTATGGGCAAGTACATGTTGTACATACATTTGGTATCCGAAGTACATGTTCGGATACCGAATACCTTACTAACATATTGACATTACTTTAGGAGTTAAAACTAGTGATTTATGAAGAATCAGATTTTCTTCAATTAGCACAAAACGACACGGCTTTAAGTTACAAAAAGTAAGTTACAAATTGTAATTTATTTATAAAAAATACGAAACAATATGTCTTAATATCTAAATACATAAATTATTATTAAATGACTGAAAGAAATATGAATTTAGAGGAAATATTTTAAAACTTTTCAACATTCTTATATAAATAATTTCATATTCAATATTTGATTTATTATTTTAATATTTTTGGGCTATTATTAATATTTCAAATAATTGGAATCTGAATATATGCATAATAGATCGTGTCGTTATATAATAGTAATAGCCGTGACCAGGAAAACATGGACAAAAAGTAATCGCTATATTAAGACTAACGTCAGTCTAATGTGCGAAAATTGCAAGAGTCTGGTCGTTGGTTGATGGTGATGTTGGTTCGAGTGTGTCTTTTGTTCGTTTTACCGTCCACGCTTGAAAGCAATTACTCACTCATAAATTGCACGGCGCGCTTCGATAATTCCATTATAATTAAATAAATCTCCGACAATTATTGTTATACCCCATTGCCATAATACGTGTTATTACGATCACTTTTATCGCTTCGCTCACTTATTTATGGATCATCTAATGACTCATCACACCTATATTGCATCTCATCTTCCATTTCCACGTCCAGTTTCTATTGATAAAATGTACAGTTCTTTCGCCAACTTTTTATTTGCTCATCCAATCCGATGGTCATTTTCTTTTCTATTCGCGGTTTGCATGGTTCTCCCCGCTATAAATTCAATTAAATGCACCTTTATGGCCGATCGAAACTAATTTTGGCATGTTCGCGTCGTTAAATTTAACGATTCCTCTCCGTTTTATTTTAATTTCTCTTCTATGATTTACATCCTTTCCCGGCGATAATTAAACACCGTCAGGAATTGTTGTTAAATTGAATTTACTGCACCGCAATTTCACCGTTCAATCGATAAACGATTTTGCAAGATTTCATATTTTACTATAAATAGTAACTATGTTACATTCTTGCTAAACATATACACTTTTTTACAATGTATTGAATGAAAACTGTTTTGAATAACATATTTTCCTTTTCAAAAAATATTAATAATAATCTTTATTGTTTCATTTATAAAAGTTGACAAAGAAATATCAGTTTGCGATAAGGAATTTGTAAAATCCGGTATAAAAATTACGAGTTGGAATTAGTTTATATGATTTCAATAGATAAAAATATTGATCAATTTATAAAATTTTAAATTTGTACAGATTATAAGATTTTTTTGTAATAAAGTGTCTCTTTGTTCGCAAATACGTACAAAATGTTTTTAATTATGTATATTTGAAAAATACATTTTCTTCGTTCATAATCAATGTTACGTGTAATCAAATTTGAAATATATTTCATTTTTAGTACGCAAAAATTTATGAATATAGTCAGCGCTCAGTTAACGTACATAATATGTCAAGTACACAATAATTGTCGCTTTTAAATTAAGTGAGTATACTTCATAAAAATAGAAAATATTTTTTATTGACAATAAATACTATATAGGTAAACAAACTTTGAAATATATTACATTTTACTTAATATGTTAAAATAGTCATTGTTCAGTTAAAGTATTATATAAGTATACAAAGTATTGCTCGTTAATTTACATTGAAGATTTGTTAGTCAGTTGATCACAAAAATGAACAAAATGTTTATACGAACGTAAAGTGTACGTTCCTACTTTTTACAACTGTTATTTTTTATATCGCGAGTTTTACGTTCAATAAAATGTTAATAACAATAACTTAATTATATATTTTTTTCTTATAGATGAGAAATATGTGATGTTATTTAATTATTTATTTTTGTGTTACAGGTGAAGCACGAGAGATGTTAGATTTCAAATGGAAACACGAAAGTTTATAATCCTGTTAGTCCTCGCGCTGTCCCTGGATTCCAGCAGGAATGTTGGGGCAGCGCTTCACATGCAGGACGCCCAAATAACAACGATCACCAGGCTTAACAATGGAGACCAATTCACAGCGCAAGGTAAACTTCTATTTCCATACGTTAACCCTCTTATTCCCTGTCAAGAAAATGCTTGTCTTACGCACATAAATTGTTTTGCATGTTTCACGCAGAACCCTTGAGGGTGACACATAATACATAAACCAACTCTGAAACGCAGCCAGTTTACCTGTCATATCTCCTGTAAACTGAGACATCTCATTTCCCACCAATAATTTATGTGCAATTTTGGCGTAAAATCCGACTCCTCTGAAGATAATGAAACATTATTTATAGCCTTTCCGGAACGTTTTGCATTATTAATCATGCAAGGAACTTTTTCCGCAATGCCATTTCTTTCATATATTCTTTTTTTGCGTAATAAACGTACCATAAACACACGGGAGCGTTCACGGATTCGGATGGTAATCGGAAAGTTGTAAATCTTGCGTCACCCGAGAACCGAAGGATTGAGATGTCTGCAGGTAATATTGTGCAAATAAAATTCATTGATTGGAAATGCTAATTGCCTGCACGTAATGGCGTTCGTAACGTTTGCCGCAATGGCACTTACTTTTACGATTCATCTTTCTTACTAATTTTTCGGTTCATCTGCTTTATTGCGAACGCCCATGTAGTCCAACAAACGACCGTTTCTCTCTTTCTGTGCTCCTCTCTCATTTCGTTTCGTTGTGTAATGTGCGTGAAAATAAAAATCACAATAAAATTGCATAACGTTAATACAAATGCAATCATCATTTGAGCGATTATCTAATAATTAACATTAAAAAATATGTACATACCATTTTTAATTCTTACATTGCAATTGTAAATTGTGTAATGGATCCACATGAGACATAAATATTTGTCATTTCAGGTCATTACTTTTGTTGTATAGTCCCAGTAATCGGACTGTTTGAAACCGGACTAATCGAGGACTTTTAAAGACTAAAGGAAACACTATGTATAAAAAAAATAATTTTGTCCACCAGAAATTGTATTTTGCTAAATTTAAATTTTGTTTATCACATTTTTTTAAACCAGACTATAGTGAATCCTGAACTTAAAGATAAACACGTTTTGATTATTTATTTTATAAATTATGAATGAATTCACAAATTTCACAAATTGGAAGAAGGTAATTCCATTAATATTTTTCTAAAAAATATATACTTTTTGTATATTTGTAGTTCGAGTTTTTAGAATAATTTATAACCTGGATCAATGTGTGTGATGCATTAATGGAAGTCATGTTACAAATTTACATACATTGCGTAACTTTTATCCATATTTACATGGGAAATTCTTCTATCTTCAAGGTCAAAAAGCAATTCGAGAGCGATCTTTAAATGAAATAATTGCCTATAAATTTCTACCATTTTAACGAGTTAGTAGTAAAATCGACTTGGTAAACTCATAAAAAATACATCTACGTATTAGATTTAATAATTTTATTAAAAATTAATCTTTATTTTGTGTGAGCATTAATTTCGATTGAATGGTTTTATTGAATGAATCTACAATTACATTGCACAAATATTGTTCTCCAGTTTAAAAAAAACTCAAAAATTCATGTACAAATTAATATAAATCTTTGAATCTGACAAATATTACAAATTTCACAAATATTACTTTGGAATATTTATATATATAAAAATTATTCCAACTAATTTTAGTAAAGACTTCATTTTAGTAAAGCTTTTGTTATTTGCCAATCCGTAATGATGAAAATCTGAATGTAAGTTCTTTTTTGTCATTAGTCGTAATAATAATTTTATTATGGTTTTAAATATTTCTTTTGTAGATGTTTTTGTACTAAAATAATAATTACATAATAAACTTGCATTTAAACTTGTGAGTAAATTCACAATGAAATTTTCTGCACAGTAGAAATTATTAGAATAATCAACCAATTTCATTGGTCATATTATACAACTAATAACATCTGTTCATTTATGAACTGAGAACCAAAAGCTGTTATTCTTTTAGCAGAACTATTATTAATATTTAATAATGTTATTTTATGGCAGTTAGTGTACCGAGAAGGATTATATAAAGTTATTTATTTATATATATATTGATAGGTTTTCCGTGTAAAGTATTTAAAATGAAGAAAAAAAAATCTATATTGATGTTAATTATAAGATTAATCAAGCGCGATACTTCTTTCAAAAGCCGACGCGACATCAGGTGACCACCGTGCGCAGAGGCAATCATTCTTGTTTTTGATAATTACTCTTTCCGGAATCATTTCCTTCAAATAAGTGCTGTTACAAGAATATTACCATAAAAATTATAATAAGAATCCTCAATAATATAAATATTTCTTAAGCGATTTTTATTTCTTCTGATATTTTACATAGAAAATAAAGCCATTTATTCCATGAAGTCTTTTCTCGTAAACTGTATCCAATTCCATTAATAAGAGAAACAAGTAACTGTTCAGATGCTGTTGTTCATTAACGTTTTGTATACACGATAATTAATTGCTGTGCGCTTCCAAATAGAATTTACTCAACTGCGAAACGTGACGATTTAATTTACCCACATCTCATAATTTAATAGCCACGATTTTTTTTCTTCCAAACACAGGAAATTTATGTTTCTAACTGTATTTTTAGTTGATAATTAAATGAACATATTTGTTGGTTAATATATAAACATTACTAATTACAGTTAAAAAATATATTAAATTTAATTTTAACTATTAGAGAGTTTTCTAGCAATATTTTTATTAAAAAAAAATAGAAAATACATTTTTTTCATTAACCCTAATAAAACACATTAAAAAGTTATTACATTCATTAAAAATGTAAATTCTTATTCCTAGTTTATTTATTTCGTTATTTTTATTAATAAAACTGTTGTAAAGGACTCTTTTTTGCCTGAATTATTATTGATAACAATAAAAAATATTAATCATTCAGTAATTTTTCAAATTATTTCATGAAACAAAAACTGAATTGCAAAAATTTCGAAAAATTAAAAAAATATTTGAATTGGTTTTAAAAAAAATATTGATAAACAATACATTATTTAAATTGTTAAATAAAATATAAGAAAAAAAATGAAATAAAAACTAAATTGCAAAAATTATGTTGTAATAAAAATATGTATAAATAAATACACAAATACTTCGCATAGTACGGCTTTCATCAGTCCGGATTCACTAGAGTCCGGTTTAATAACTTGAAACAGGATTAGAAAATGTTATATGAATAAAAATAATGACTACGTAAAGCACGTAACATTACAAAAAATGGTAATCATTGAATTGATTTGTGATGTATTGAAGGCCCCAAAAATTCTCGTAAGTTGTAAAAATTATAATACGATGGTTTTAAAGTTTTCGATTAGTCCGGTTTCAAACAGAAGAATTGATTATCACTTGTAGTATTTAGTAATAACTAACTGGTTTCAAAAACAATCGATTAACGGATTATAAAATTTAATATAAACTAAAACAATGGCTACATAAAGCACGTGTAACTCACGAAAAGCTGGATTATCTCGACTATCATTGAATTGAATAGTGATATATAATCGTTTCCTACAACGGCGACACGTTTGAGCGTCGTGATTTCGTCCTTTTTTTACAACTAATTTAATTTCCCATGTCCCACTTAGATATGCTTTCAATCGTGTACGTGATCCATTCTGTTTCGCGAAACACTCTCATCCTGAAATGAACAACAACAAAAATAATAGGATGTTGTCCTACAAAGAAACACATTACTCAGCTTGCACTTTAACCTTTTCCAGTAATAGAAACGGGAATAAAATAGCGAGTATTGCAAATTTTACAAGCGAATCTAATAAGATTTTATGAATTTATTTATTTTTAGATAATTTGAATTTTCAATTACGATATTATTAATATTTTCTTTCTAATTTTGAATATAAATAAAGAAATAATCATAGTAGAATTTTGTAGAATTTGAGTCTTTAATTTAAAATTAAATTATGTAGATTTTTGATTAGAACTAAAGAAATTTGTAAATTTGTGTTCAAATTAATTATATAAAATAATGTTTAAGATTATAAAGATGTAAAAAAAGACGTAAATTAAAATTCCTATGAAAATATTTTTCTAATTAGTGAACAAATTATGTGGAATTTATTAAAATTATAACTGAAAGAATAACAGCTTGTGTGTTACTTCAGTAGGTCAAGATCTAAAACTGGTTTTCCAAACTCTCTCATGTCACACACGTCCAGCACGATTTAGTTATTGTCACCTATCAATCTTAAATTCGCATCTGTTTATAACATAACATCAAAACGATTATATGTAAATTGTCAATAAAGATCTGGAGCATTTGATAGGATTCTTCCAGTGGGCGTAATGCATTATTCAAAGTATCCATATTTTCATCCTATTTACCTACGTCCACAAATGGATTTACTAATCCTAATTACAATGAATTTATGAATATTAATTAATAACGAATATTTTTGTTCTACTTTAATATTCAAATATTTTCAGAACGATTATCAGAATAAAAATAAAGAAAACTAACTGTATTCGGTTATCTGAGATAAAATCGCGCAGTCATTTAATCGAAGGCATGTCTTCGGCTTGTTTAATGTAAAGTACGTGAGATGATTGCACATGATTTTTAAAAACGAATTTAACCTGAGTTTTTTATTCTGCAAGTAATGCCAAGCGTGATGTGTTCATTAATCGTTAATAATTTACTGTTTATATTATATTTTGGTCTCTAGAAAAATAAAACAAATATTATTTTAGAAAAATTCAAGTAATATCTTCATAATTTTACATTACATAAAAGCTAATCAAGATATATTTACTCATCCAACTAATATCCGTTACATATTTTATTTCATTTCCTTGATTGGTGACGTGCATTGGTTTCCATGTCATCTCGTGTTTTCAAAAGCTATAGTTAATATTTATATTATGGTCACTCACTTATGCTGTTTAACTCAATGTATACCATGTTTTCAAAAGCTCTGAAAACTGTTTATAGTTAAGCACTTGGATTGGTGACCAGTATATTTATAATATAATCACCCATCTTGTCCGGTAAATATGCTGCTTAACTTCCAAAACCAATGTTCAACATTCAACGTGTTTTCAAAAGCTCTTATGAACATTTCCTATAATTAAACAAAAAATCTACTTTAATTAGTGACCGGTATATTTATATTACTATCACCTATCATTTACATATATTTGTATAAACCAATGTGCGTTATCTCATGTTTTCAAAAGCTCTTATGAAAATTTATTACAGTTAAGCAACATATCACCTTGAATTGGTTACCGATTATCAATGTTATATACTAACAGAAAGTTCCTAATGGAAATTTGTAATACTATACTTCCACAACCTAAAGTAGACGCACTCATATTTTAAATCTTCTTATTTCATATCTTCTTATTCAAATATAATTCTAAAGAACAATAACTGATATGTTTTCTTTCATAACTTAATAAAGTTAAGCAATATTTCTACTTGGATCGGTGGTCGGTTATCTACTTTATTTCTACAGTAACAAGTTGATACTATACTGATGTTTTAACCCTTTGTGGCACAGTTTAATTTTGTCAATTCTTTACAAATAAATGTATGATCAAATGTTTCTACTTTAGTTTAGTTTTTGAAAAAGCATGTGGTTCCACTGCGAAACCACTGGGAAATAGAAAGCTTGGAAATAATTATTCTTTATGTGGTCCAATGGTGGAACACACAAAAATAAATGATATTATTAACTAAAGTTAAACTCATGAAGAATTGATTTATTGATTTATTTCGAATCGAGGAAAGTCAGATGTAATTAGAAAAGTGATAAAGAATGAAATTTGTCGACGACAGTGAGTTCAAGTGAGTACGGTGAAAGATTGAGTTGTCTGAGGAACGAAACAATATCTCTGAGGATCCTTTATTGAAACGTCGACCTGTCAAAAGTGACGTGATCTAATGATCGTGAACGTTGTAATTTCCACGGCGCACGGTCTCCCATTTACTTCATTACTTCGACAAACATTAGATCCCAAATGGTAAATTAACTGTGCTTCACTCCTCAAGACACGTTCCGAACACTTCAAATCATTCCAATCGCATGCAATTATTGCAAGTAAGTCAGAAATAGCTTGGATTCAGAAAATACACCATACTCATGAGCCACAAGTACCTTTATTTATTAGTAAATACATGGTCTCTTCGGGCTGCATTTCAATTGAACTCGAGTGATGTCGTTTGGCAGTTAAATTACGAGCTGTTTATTCGATCGAGGAGCATCCGATACCAAGACATCCCATAAAAGGTTGAAAGTAGATATAATAATAATCTTTAATGCCATCACAATATTTACCACTCGATAGGAGAAAATCAACTTTTGTACGCAAACACAGGAATTATTTAAATGCATATAGATTTTCTAGCAAAATAGACATAAATATACGGAATTATACTTAGTATAAATAATAATATGTGGAATATTACACAGTAGTATTTTGATTACTTTTATCTTGGGTCTCTTCATTTTCGCCTATAACATTCGCCACAAACATGTCTTTGCACTTTCATGTAACGTATTTCTACAACTTTATGAGCCTTTTTCAACAAGGCGAGAGTAGGTGTTATTAACATAATACGTCGATTATTACTGTATTTTAAAAAATCTTAATACGCTTTGATCTCGAACCGTTCATATCCACATGTTTAACACTATTAACAATGTTGTATATGTTCAGTTAGTTTCCGTTGAACTTTCCTAATTATTCACAACCCATATTTGTACTTTATATATAACACGTATTTTAAATTAAATTTTAATTTCATTCAAATATGTGAAGTTTATATGCGTAACAGTTGAATACGAAAATTAATATAGATTGTATAAATTATATTTATTGATTGTAAAGCATATTTTGTCTGTCAATTAAAATCTTAATAATAAATTTATGGACAGTAAAAAAAATATTTAATCACTCACCACTAATATAAGTAGAATATATTTTAAGTACATTTATAATTTATTAAAGTTAAGAAACTTGTTATTTCTTTGTCTTTTCAATTTAGATCACAAATTTCTTTTAAAATAAATACATATGTAAAAATACTTTTAAATATATGCTAATAATTCGGTTTATTGTAGTACATACTTTGATTGTTTATACGGAAAAATACTCGCTTTAATTTTCTGCACAACATTTATTAAATCAAAACAGAAGTTTTTTTGATTACAGTAACATTTTCAATTTTTGATATGTGATAAAATTGAAGACTCTAAAAAAAATGAAAAATCTTTGATTAAAGATATAAGTTGAAATATGCTTAATTTATATAATAATAAAAAATCAACTGCAACTGAATGTTTAAGCTTATATTAGTAAACATTGGAATGCAATAATTTGTAATAGATGCGATAATATCATTTCGCGATTGTATTGACAGATTCATCCAATTTAATCAGCATATTAAATGGATCATATTTTTTAAAATCAGAAGTGGATTCCATTAAAGTTAGCAATTAAATGCATTTCCATAATAAGTCGCTTAGCGCGCTCCTCTACATTTCATAATGTTTGGCTTTTAAATTTTATTACATTAAACCGCAAGTCGTTCTTTAATGCAAAGGATTGCATTTCTTTCGGCCTTGCGTTATATATTTACTTGAAGTAATTAAACGTATATTTTTATCATCGGTTATTATCGAAGTTTCCCCATTAATGGGTATTACAGTTCGACAAAAAACGATTCTGTTTTATTCATGAATTCTTACTGGTTTCAATAAACGTCTCTCGTATGGTTTCCGTATAGACTAAGGATAAATATACGTATATTTCAAGTTCTTAATATACTCGTCGGTATTTTTCGGAAATTCTGATTTTTTTTATTTTATTTGGTATTTAATAAACAGATATTTAACAAACATTTCATGAATTATCTATTGTATTAAATATATATGCACAGCATTACCTTGTATAGTCCGGGTAATCGGTACGCCAATATACCGGAAGTCTGAAACCGGACTAATCGAGGAACTAAGTACATACAAAAAAACGCATATTTGTTAGAATTTATTATTATTTTAATGAATCCGCACTAATTGAAACCTTATTATGGGAGGTTTTGCAGTAAGTTTCTTTCTTTTTTTATATTTTTGTGATACATTTCTTCTTTTTGTTTTGTTTTCAGGAAGCTCGTGTAATCCTGAAACATGTATAGGACTCAGCAGTGGCACAGCTACAGCGGTATCGGATATTTCATCATCTAAAAAGGAAGGATCTTGTACATGCCAATGTCATCCTCATCTCCCGGCTTACCGCGAAGATTGGCAGATCTGTGTCGACGACATACGTGGTGAGATTTCCGTTTTTCTTCCACAGATTTTGTTACGAAATAAAACTTTCTTATCCACATACACATAGCTGAAAATCACTTATATCATATAATATATCTTATAACAAATATTAAGCAAAAAATTAACACAAAACATTTCAATTTATGAATGAATTATTACTATTTGTTTACGCAATATTCATAATTATAATATAATCAAATCTTTTTCTTTTATTTGTTATATAATTATTTAAAACTTTTTAATTGTGATTGGTTATTTCCTTTATACACAATTAATTATTTATTTACACCTTTTTCATTTGACCCAAGGCTATAATTTGATTGATTTTTCTCATAGCTTGCAGTATAAATAAAACGTTAATTAAGTATTGTGGAATATCGTTATTAATGAAATAATATAAATTCCAATAGAAATAAACATTACTAATCTTAATTACTTGTGTGTTATCTTAACTGCAGGAATTAAATTACGTGCGAATGTTTGTCAGGAGTCATTAATTCCAAGATTAACTGTATATATCTTTTAAAACTGTTGTATGAATCTTTTAAGTCTTATTTTGAGTTTGATGATATTTATTGCTTCTCTTATATTTATTTAATCTATTATAGTTAAAACATATATATTCAAAGAAATTCAACTATTTAGTAGCAACAGTTTTGATACAAAATCTACAATTATATTTAGAATGATTACTTACTATAGAGTTTCTGCAAACAAATTTAAGATTTTTACTGGTTATAATTCTTAAACCATATAAAAGTTTATCTGCCTTGTATACTTTAGGTAAACTTAACGAAATAAATTATACTTTGTTTTCATTATAAGGATCTAATTAAACATATATAAACCATATTTTAAGAAAACATATATTCTATAATTATTGATGTCATTTTACTTGCGTATTCCTAAAAAATATATGTATATTGGATACAATATATTAACTATCGAAAACATATAGTATCGAACAGAATAATTTGAAATAAAACGTTTAGGAAAATATTTGTATATGTCATTGTTTTTAAAAATTAGAACTAAATATTACTAACTTAAAGATGTTTCACTTCTTGTCATCGATTCAATAAGGTTTTGTTCATGAGGTTTTGTATTCTGTTCGATATTGTATATCTTATACGAATATTAAAAAAGTGTTAAAAATTGATTTTATTTGTAATCTCTATAGATAAATATATAATATTGGACGTAATTCCTACTGACACGAACAATATGTAAAATATTAATTTAGATAAATAATTTCATGTTTTTTGGCAATTTATTCAAGATATTAGTTCTATTTTTTTTATAAACTCATTATTTTATGCTATTTATCTTTGCGTTATTATCCAACGTTGCAAATGTAAGCAATTATAAAATAATTTAATTACTTAAGATTTTTATTAATTGTTCGAACAAATACACTTATAGTAATCCTTTATTAATCTTTGTTGAATATGCAAAATATTTCTAGTTTTGCAATGTGTTAAGTAGAGGTTAATAAGCATAGTTATTAACACGTTAAGTTAACAGGCGACGAGTACCTTTAGCGTTTATTGGAAGTGGTGGGATATCTCAATTATCTCTAATTGCTATCGGTGCGGAATGAAAACATTATCTTGCCCAGAGATCGCCACATAACCGTTACAGGCGGTGTGCGTGTGTACGTTTGAGCGAATGTGTGAGTGGATGCAATTTTTGGGGCGATAAATTTTAGGTCGGTTTTTGGTTGGAGGCTTCTTCGGGGTCACACTTTTCTCTCTTTTTTTTTCCTCCAACCTTTCCTACCAGTCATACATCAAAAAATCAACGCTCAATAACGGGGTAACCCGGCAGACCCGTTTATCTTAACTCAGAAAATACTCGGGGAGAGTAAAAAAATGCGAATAAAAAAAATCGAGCTGATCCTTCCCAGTAATGACGTGTCCGAAGCTCCTCTTGTATCATTAAGATGATGCAGCTATGATGTGCGGCCCGTTAAAAACTGGTCCACATCGGCTCACGAACAAAACCGCATTTTCCCTTGTGTTTCTCTGCCCAAAAAAAAAATTCATATATACAGAGTGTTACTTATTAATTAAAGCTACTGTATAATTTCAACTTATAAAGAAAAAAACTAAATTATAATATATGTTGTAATTGCATCTCTTCGTAAATTCATGAAACTTTTGTAACTCTGCAGACAACTATTTCGTATTTTGCAATAACATAACTAAATACACCAACGAAATATTTTTTATGATATATCAACTACTCAAGTTATTAAACAATTTCAGTCTAAATATATTTTAAATATTACACTTTATAAATACAGCAATACCTCGAATAGTACGGCTTTTTGCCGTTAAATTTTAATCTATACATAGATGATTATTTTTTTCTCTTTACAATCAAGTCAGTATTTGTGAACTTTATTATTATGCAAATAATAGTCCTCGATTAGTCCATAATATTGGTGTAACCTATACTATATGAAAAATTGCTCTATAATCTTTTGTATTGTAATTTTTTTTTATTTATTTTATTATTATCATATCATATCAAATTTACGCTCGAATGAAAAAGTATGAAAGTTTTTCAAGATTAAAAATTCAATTATAACTTTTGAAGCTGATGTAAGCAATTTTAATATGTTTTTTAGTCACGTTTTATACTTTGCCAATTTATATGAAAAGCATTTTATTTCCAAACATTTCACGTTTTATTTATTATTATTACTAAAACTTTTCAGATAATCACTAATAATCAATTATTATTAATTTATTTCTTAGCTTGGAAATTTATAACTTTGGTCTGTGATATTATTTTGCATATTGTTATCGTAAATAAATAGTTTCTATTAAAAAAGGAGGAAAAGATAAATTTACTATCACTATCACAAAAATTATACAATATATTAAATATCGACATTTTTTCTTCAATTTATAATAAAGAAAACAGAAAATATCAAAGCATAAATTTGTTGGTAAAATATTTCTTTATAACCATTATTTTTAATTTTTATATTCAATAAGTCACTTTTTCACATAATCTTTGTAACATTAAGTACTGTTTTTATCTTTACAATAGATTATTCAAATACTTATAATTTCGGGAATTCCTCTAGCAGGAATAACTTCAAAAGATATATATAATAATGTGTAAGCAATGTTTCATAATTTTGCGGTCATTAAATATAAACAGAAAATGAAAGAGCTGCCGGATTCTTGTTTGAAATGGATTTCCATTGCGAATTATAATATTATAGCAATAAATTACATTAATAATATTCGCATAATAATTTGAATGCGCTTAAATAGGAGCATTAAATAGATGTTACCGCTTCATTTTATTTTTTTAAATTTATAACTTATGTTGAGATTTTCTCTTATTTTATTTAGAAAAAAATATTTGCATATCGATTTGACACATCTGATTAGACCAGAAAATGTACATAAAATGTGCATTAGATCTCTTCTACATGCAATGTACTTATCTGATCGTCGCTGATTTAATTCGTAAAATTGAGTCTTGAAGTCGTAATTTTGCGACACGCTGTAAAACGTTTCTTCTCCTTCCAACGAAATAGCTGGAGGCGTAAGTAGTTTAGGAGATTTAAATTGTACGCAAAATAATTCATTAACTTTCTTCTTCATTCCAAACGCAAAATATTCGCAATTGCGTATGATGCCAATCTCGAGTTGCGGCATTCTTACTTTGTTGCTTCTTCTTCCCAATTCCTTGGGAAAGCTCTTCGAATGCGTACGAGCACTGTCGTACGTTTTTATATACCAAAGAAGGAAGAGTCGAAGATTTTAATCTTTGATATCGGTGTATTCAGTTTCGAATCGCATAAAACTTTACGACACATCTTTATTTTTTTTTTTATATTTAATAACATTATTTTCAAGAGTTCAATTTTTATGATCTTAAAATTATCCAAAACGTAAGTATTAATTAAATCTTGATGATACATTTTATGTGTTGAATCGTTCGGTGATGTTAAGTAAATTTATAGATAGAACATGTAAGTGAGGTATTCAAGCCTATTTTGGCGCCGGCTACTATTTATTTCGATACCTTTCCTTTTGAAGGTCGTCGTACATTCTCCTGTCAATGTTATTGTGCAGTAATGGGCGCTGTTTCTTGGACATTTCAACTGAGGTTTTAATAATATCAGTGTGCCACTTGAATTTTTATTCCAATAATTGTATACATTTCCGTTTAATTTATATACTTGCTTATTTTCTTCCAGTTGCATTATGTAAGTCAATAAATTATTTTAAAAATTAGTATTTTTTTTAAATATTCCTTTTTTTCTGATATCATTTATAAATCTTTTTAAGTTAAATTAAAAATGTATAAATTTTATGATATGCTGAGACATTAGACAATAATATATTTTTTTTAAATGTATTGGGCTCCAAAATAGAAATTAGTTAAGAAAAATCCTGATTTTTAACAAATTTTGAAATTTTTCTGTTTGTTTCCTGAAAAAAATACGAAATTGAAATATTTCTTCTCTCCATTTTTTGTTGTAAAGATTCAAAAACCGGTTTAAGTCAGTTTTTGTATAAACCCTACTTAGTATTTGCATTTTCTTCTCAAAATATCAAGAAAAATATATTAGTGAATATATAAATTTCAATAAGTATTAACTATAGAAATGCAATTAGGAAAAAGGTTTAATTTTATACAAAAATATCTTAAATAAAGTTTTAAATTATTGGAAAGATTTATAACAAATAATGTCTCTTCAAAAAAAATCCTATTTCTTGTTTAATTATAAAGCATTTTTTGGAGAATATTTCTTTTGCTGTATTTATTTGTATTATTTTGACATTGTAGAGAAATAAATGTTCAAATTTAATATTGACTCAAAAATGGAATGTAACAATTAAAATGCGCGTTAACAAAACCATCAATATTCATTTTTATATAAAATATACATGGTTTATTGAATTAGATATAATTCAACATATTTTATGACAAAAAAATTACTTGCAAGTAATCTTCAAGGAAACCATAA